GACCACCACTGCTTCTAGTAGGCCATCTTGGCTCTGCCCCTCCTTTTCAACTTTTTGAGGTGGAAATTAAGTGCCATGAATTTTCCTCTTAACACTGCCTTAGCTGTATTCCAGAATTCTGGTATGTGTTATCTTTGTTCTTAATACTTTTCAAAGAATTTTTTGATTTCCACCTTAATTTCTATTTACCTAAAAGTCAATCAGAAGCACGTTGCATGATTCTGAGTAATTTTTATAGTTTAGACATCTACTTTTATTGCTCTGTGGTCCAAGAGTGTGTTTGGTATGATTTCAGTTTGCTCACACTTGCTGAGGATTGTTTTATGTCCAATGATGTGGTCAATTTTAGAGTATATGCCATGTGGCAATGAGAAGAATATATATTCTGTTGTTTGGAGATGGAGAGTTCTGAAAAGGTCTATGAGATCCATTTGGTCCAATGTTGAGTTTAGGTCCTGAAAATTTTTGTTAATTTTCTGACTCAATAATCTGTCTAATATTGTCAGTGGAGTGTTGAAATCTTGTGTGGGAATCTATGTCTCTTTTTAGGTTTCTAAGAATGTGCTTTATAAACCTGGGTTCTCCTTGTTGGGTGCCCATGTATTTAGAATAGTTTGGTCTTGTTGAATTGAACCCTTTACCATTATGTAACGCCCTTCTTTATCATTTCTGATCTTTGTGGTTTCAAATCTATCTTGTCTGAAATTAAAATTGCAAATCCTGCTTTTTTCCTGTTTTCCATTTGCTTGGTATATTTTCCTCCATCCCTTTATTTTGAGCCTATGAGAGTCATTACATGTGAGATGGGTCACTTGAAAACAGCATATTATATTGGGTCTTGCTTTTTTATCTAGCTTGCCTTTCTGTGGCTTTTAAGTGAGATATTTAGCCCATTTACATTCCAAGTTAATATTGATATGTGTGGATTTGATACTGGCATTGTGCTTTTAGCTGGTTATTATGTTGGCTCGTTCAAATTGTTATTTTACAGTAACACTGGTCCTGTGTGTTTAAGTGTGTTTTGTATTAGCTGGTAGTGGTGCTTCCTTTCTATATATAGTGCTTCTTTCAAGATCTCTTGTAAGGCAGGGCTGGTGGTAATAAACTCCCTCAACATTTGCTTATCTGAAAAGGATCTTATTTCTCCTGCACTTAGGAATCTCAATTTAGCTGGACATAAAATTCTTGGTTGAAGATTTTTTTCTTTAAGAAAGTTGAATATAGGCCCCCAATCAATTGGTTTATAGGATTTCAGCTGAGAGGTCAGCTATTAGCCTCATGGAGATCTCTTTGTAGGTAACCTGCCCTTTCTCGCTAGCTGCCCTTAAATTCTTTCTTTCATTTCAACCTTGGAAAATCTGTTAGCCTCATATAGATCCCTTTGTAGGTAACCTGCCCTTTCTCTCTAGCTGCCTTTAAATTCTTTCTTTCATTTCAACCTTGGAAAATCTGAGGATTCTGTGTCTTTCTTGGGGATGATCTTCTTGTGTAGAAACTTGCAGGAGTTATCTGTATTTCCTGAACTTGACTGTTAGCCTCTCTAGCAAAATTGTGAAAGTAGTCATGGATAATATTCTTAAATATGTTTTCTAAGTTGTTTGGTTTTTCTGCCTCTCTTTCAGGGATGCCAGTGATTCACAGATTTAGCCTCCTTAAGAAAGCCCATGCTTCTTGGAGGTTTTGTTAATTCATTTTTATTCTTTTTTTCCTCGTTTTGACTGTCTTATTTCAGAGAACTAGTCTTTAAATTCTGGGATTCTTTCCTCAGCTTGGTTTATTCTGCTATTAATACTTGCAATTGCATTATGCAATTTTTTATTGTGTTATTCAGCTCTGTCATACTTGGTTGGTTCTTTTTTATAACAGCTATTTAATCCTTCAGCTCCCATATCACTTTATTGTGATTTTAAAATAAACCAATTTTAAAGCAGGATTTATATTAACATTATTATTCCCTACAGAGCCAAGTAGTGTGGCCAAACACAAGTGATGAATTTTATGTCATCAAACTCCTTCCTCTTGAAGAATATGTCATGTATGAGCTAAAATGACTTCTTTATTAATTTTCACTTTTCTTTACTTTGTCTAGGAAATGCTCAGTTTATATTCTTCTTTGTCTTTATGTCACCCCACTTTTTTTTCCATTTTTTATTTTGATGGAGCAACTCCACATATGAAGATATAGAGATACTGAACTTTCTAAACGATGGCATGTCAGAAAGTTATTTTCTTGATTCATTTAATTAAAATTTTAGGTAGAGGGAGAACTCTATATCCAAAATTTTTCCCCTGAGAAATTTAAGAAAATATTACTTTATCATGTTCTAGCCTTGAAATGTTACTAATGTTGCTAAGCAAATACCTGACATAAGTCATATTTCTCACCCCTTTGTAAGTTACCCAGTTACTTTACTCTGTGGAAGTTTCAAGGATATTTTCCTTAGTAAGGATCTTCTGAAAATGAAAAAAAAAAAAGTAAAAAGGTCATACATATTTTTATATTTATCTTCTGGCATTTTGTTGAGCTACCCAGATTAATACCGTATGTTTTTATTCAGCTTGAAATAACTTTATGTTTTCTATATCAAACATTTAATTATTTTCTTCAGTTTCTGCTTCTAGAATGCGTGGTAAACAGATGTTTGACTTGTGTTCATCCTCCATTTTTCTTTCTTTTTATAATCAACCAATGCTTATGTCATAGTTTTTTTTAAAAGAAAAAATATTTATTTAGGATCTTGTAAAAGAAATAAGTCTTTCATATGAAACCAGAAGTCCGGAAGGGAACTATATTTTTTATGTAAAAATACAACTTGGAAAATTAAACTATCAAATCTTCCTTAAAGACTGCAGCATATCCATAACAAAATACCTGGAAGGTAAATTTTCTTTATTTTTATTTAAAGTAAATAATAAAATTAATTCCATTATATCATGTATTTGAATATTATTTCAATTTTGTTTTGAGAGCAATAATTTGGATTTTTCATTACATACATATTATATATGCACCTGTTTGAAGTGTACTGTCATTTGCAAAAGAGATTCAAAAATCAAACTTTCTATGTGACTAAACTATTCTGCTTCTTGGAAAACCAGAGTCCCATTGAATAATTTTAATTGCAAATGTTTTGTGCCAGAGGAGACAACACTAAAAAGAAGTTTTCAGATCTAAAGAGGGACAAAATTAAAAGAAAAAAATGTTAAATTAAGTCAAAAAAATTGGGGAAGCAACTTGTCTTCCTTTAGAGCAGATATGCACCATCTTCTTCACCACAGACATAAAGTTTAACATATATATATGCCTTCCTATGGATGTTCTCTAAAATTTTCATTGTTTTTTCCTACTACCTGTGATATAATAGAAATAACTTTGAATCCATTCAATAATTCCTAAGCATAAAGGCTTTATATTAGTAATAAATTAGTCAGGGCATACTTCAAAATGGATCCTGAGGTATGCATAACAATGATTCACTTGAGAAATACAACTGAACTCTAAAATTCCTCAAGGTGAAGAAATAATCCATTTTAAAAAGCACATTTAGTTAACAATTACTCAGAATCTACTTCAAGTAAAGAAAATGTTTAGATGATCTTAAATGGCCTTTTGAATTTATAATTACAAAAAATCTCATAGAATAGAACCTGATGCTAATTTTAACTATATCTCAAATTCCAATAATGCCTCAGAAAAAAAAAAAAAAAAAAAGTCCATTCCTGAATAGCTTTCACCAAATTAATCTAATTCCTACGATTTCCAAGACATTCACAGTTATATTAACTAGCACTGCATTTGTCATTCCCTTTAAGTAGTTCATCCTGATCTTGTATCAATTATGTCACAATCAGAAACATTATAAATAAACTGTTGCCATTATCTTACCTAGCAGAATTTTATTTCAGCAAGCTATACTATGTTCTCACTGATTAGCCACATTTTAAATCTTGTTTAATAATCCTGTTTTTGTAATTTGTTATTAACAATATCTTGCAAAGATGGTCCAATTTCTATAAAAATGTATTTTAATAACACCTTGTTCACACAAGTCTATACTGTAACATTTGTCTTTGTTTGGGGTGCTATAACAAAATACCATAAACTGGGTAGCTTACAAACAGAAATTTATTTCTCACAGTTCTGTAGGCTGGGAAGCCCAACATCAAAGCACAAGCAGACTCAGTATCTGTAGAGGCCTTGCTTCCTTATAGACAGTACCTTCTCCGAGTCTTCATGGTAAAGCCCACTTGGGCCTATTTTATAAGAGTTCTAATCCCATTTATGAGGTCTCCACCCTCGTGACATAATAACCTCCCTGAAATTGCCACCTCCTAATACCATCACCCTGGGAGTTAGGATTTCAACATATGAATTTTAACGGGATACAAACATTTAGACTATAGTAACATTACCATTGGGTCCAACTTTTTAACTCTAAATTTTACTTTGATATATTTGTAAATTCAATCTGAAATAATTAACTACTCATTTTTAAATTTAATCTGCTTTACTGTTTTCAATTTACTCAATGTTAGGTATTTATTAAAAATAGAAATTCAGAAAAATTTATGGCCATATCATTTAACATACAGGTCAACAGGAGTAAAAATAAATCACTGAGGAGTCTTAGATGTCAAGATGAATTCACATTGAAAAGAGAAAAAATTTGCATTATGAGTAAAATGAGTCGAACCTACAGTAAATCTTCTACTCCATGAACAACACAACAAGTTCAACAATCATATATGTCCGAAGAATGAATGTTCTCTGACCCTACAAAGGATGTTCCACCTGATAATCTCTCATATAGTAATTCTGTACTTTGGCTTAGCTTCAATAATTTTGTTGAACTTTAAAAATATAGAAGTATCAATCTAACCAAGGACATTACAGCAGGCTGCCAGTTACCTCACTCAGGTCCTAATATAATTTTTATGTTATGCAGCCTCCTCCATGATTTCTATATAATGAAAATATTTGATGGTAGGAGTCTTCTTACCATATCTGATATCATCGTAGCTCTTTCAGCTCTTGACAAGAAAGCAGCATATTTGTTAGTCAAGTTAGGTAATTCATCAGAAATTCCACCATACTGTGAATACCAAAAAGCAAGTTGAAAGAAGGGGTTAAAAAGAGTACACCATTTATTTTTATCAATGCAAGAGGCACTATAAATAATAAGTTTGCCATGAAGGTCATCAACACTGTCTAGCATTAAAGACACATTTCTTTTTAAAATAAAATTTTCAAAATATGATACAGAAATAAATGTCAATGAGATATTAAAATGGAAAAAGTTGATTATATGAAACTCTAGGTAAGTATAATGGATCTGTACACATTACTTAAATAGATTAGCCATATCTAATGTCAAATTCAAACATCAATTCTTGTTCTATTTCATAACTAGCAAGTTGCTATCTCAATAATATATTAGTAAAATATATTTAGCCAATTACATAGTATTATTTGTTAACAATTTATTATTAATAAAAATATATTCACAATTAACAATTTAATTATGTGGCAATTACGGGTTAATATATTTTCTAAGTAAAATGACCCACTTACTCTCTTAAATATCATAATTTTTTGTATGCATTGAAGATGTAAATTAATAGGCTAGAGCAATCTAGTAATCTAACATTTTAATGAGCAATTAATCTTTGTGATACTCTAATTTGTCACAAAATTTATTTGTATTCAGTTAATAAATGGAAAAAGCAGCAAATCCTCCATCTATGCAAAAAGGACAAGAATCTATTTTTCCTTTTTTTACATACTTCATTGTTTTTATTTCAGAATTTGAGATTCATAGTTAATATTTCAGAATTTCACACACAGTAGAGAACAGACATCTCTCTCTCTTTGTCCATTTTTTGGTAACATTAATTTACTAAAACATCCATTACCCACCTAATGTATTTACGACACAATCTGCATCTCTACCCAAAACGTTAAAGATGGCACTTCTCCACTTTTTTCCACATGATATTATTCCAACCTAACTACTCAAAATAATATAGGTAGCTTCTATCACTTTCAAAAATAGAACAATCACAGTCATGTATTTTAAAAATGTGAAAGCCTTTGAATATAGAATATCTAAGCCAGCATTACTATTTTGTTTAGTTTTTAGATTGTCTGAAGCTGAAAAGCAACTTATTTGCATAATTTTTTTATTTCAATAGCTTTTGGATACAAGTGGTTTCTCTTTACATGGATGAATAGGATAGAGGTGAATTCTGGGATTTTAGTGCACCCATCACCTGAGTAGTGTACATTGTGCCCAAATAAGTAGGTTTTTATCCTTACTCACATCCTCCCCTTTCTGAGTCTCCAACGTCCATTATGTCACTCTGTGTGCCTTTGCATACCCATGGCTTAGCTCTCACTTATCAGTGAAAACATACAGTATTTGGTTTTCCATTCCTGAGTTACTTCACTTAGAATAATGGCCTCCCACTCCATCCAAGTTGCTGCAAAAGACATTATTTTATTCTTTTTTATGGCTGAGTAGTTATTACTCAGTAGTAATGTTACTGCATGGCATATTACATGGTGTGTATAGACCACATCTTCTTTATCCACTCTTTGTCAATGGGCACTAAGATTGGTTCCATATCTTTGCAATTGCAAATTTGGCTGCAATAAACATACACATGCAGGTGTCTTTTTAATATACTGACTTCTTTTCCATTGGGTAGATACCCAGTAGTGGGATTGCTGGATCAAATCATATATCTATTTTTAGTTATCTAAGGCATCTCCATACTGTTTTCCATAGAGATTGTACTAACTTACATTCCCACCACCAACGTGTAAGCATTCCCTTTTCATGACCCCAACATATATTGCTTTTTGATTTTTGTTTTTTACTTTTTAACAATGGCCATTCTTGGATGGGTACAGTGGCTGACACCTGTTATCCCACCACTTTGGGAAGCCAAGTTAGGCAGTTCACTTGAACTGAGTTCAAGATCAGCCTGAGCAGCATGGTGAAACCCAATCTCTACAAAAAAATACAAAAATTAGCTGAGTGTGGTGGCATATGCCTGTGTTCCCTGCTACTGGAGAGACTGAGGTAGGAGGATCACTTAAGCCTGGGAGATCAAGGCTGCAGTGAGCCACAGTCACATTAATGCAAGCCTGGTTGAGAGAGTGAGACCCTGTCTCAAAAAATAATAATACTAAAAATGGCCATTCTTGCACAGGAGTAAGGTGGTATCTCATTGTGGTTTTAATCTGCATTTCCCTGATGACTAGTGATGTTGAGTATTTTTTCATATGTTTGTTGGCCATTTGTATATCTTCTTTTAATAAATATCTATTCATGTCAGTTGCCCACTTTTTCATGAAAGTATTTGTTTTTTTCTTGTTGATTTGAGTTCCTTGTAGATTCTGGATATTAGTCCTCTTCTATTCAAACAGTGGCCCTAGTGAGGGTCAGAGAAATTCACTGGCCACTGGGATAATGTTCCATGGAGGAGCATATCTGTCTCTGATGTACAAATGAGTGTGTACAGGGAGTCAGAAGTAGTAGGTGGCAGTAAACCCCATCCAGCTCCCATGCGCTTGGAAAAGCAAGTCTCATACCTGCTGGCAGCAGCTATCTATGTTCTAAGTACTTAATACTCAGAACTCAAAATGCCCCAGGTCATAGGCCTTCCCCACAGATACCGAAACTAGCTTTCAGGCCATGCTCCTCCCAGTCTGCCTGTAAAGCCAGTGTGCAGCTCCTGCACTTGTGGCTGCAGCACACTTCCCACCTGTTCCCTGGCTCTGGCCAAGGGAACTAATCCTCACTGGATATTATATCATAAATTTCAATTGGGAGCTTCTCTCAACCTGCAACCACTGCCTGAGTTAGCTAGCAGACTTTTGCAAGATCCCCAATGACACAGAATCAGGAATGGCTTCCCTTGGTTTGCACTGGAGACTGAAAATGCCTGCAAGGGTCTTCCCACACTGCTAATACTTTTATATTCCCCACTGCTCCTTAAATCAGTTCTGGCACCAGGTAGAGTTACAGTGTTCCCTCATGCGTGGATTGCCAGGTTCCCCAGTGGAGGTGTATATCCTGAAGGCATTCCCTCTGCCTTTCATACTCCAAGGATTTAGATTTTCACAAGGCTCACTGTGTGGGCTGCAGCTTTACACTTCTTTCAAAGGGTCTGTGATTTCTTTCAGTTTTCCTGTTAAGTTCCTGCATTGCTTTCCAGAAAAATATTTCACAGTGAGAATTGCTATAAACTATTTTGTCTTTCCAAATACAATAAACATGCTAATTAGTGCTTGTCTCCAATCTGCCATCTTGGAAAAAAAGAAATTACAATAATTTGATTACTGTCATATATATGGTACTAGAAATTATTACATAAAAAAGCTCCAAAACATTTTGCAGTTTTTAGTGCTTAGGGGGTAAAAGTTAGCAACTTTTAATGACATTACCAAGAAATTAATTGCTCATTGGATGGCTTCCGCTCTAAAGGAAATGGGTAGTTTACAAAAGACCACATTTCAACACAATTAATTAAAAATAAATTCAGACAAAATGTAACAAAAACCTGTTTTTAAAGACATTATTGAGTTGTAGAGGTAGCACAGACCAAAAGGCTACAATTCTGACAAAAGTAGAATCTCTGAGAGATGAGCTGCTGGTTTGCAGGTATATTCTCCCTCAGGGCATTTTCTGACAAAGGCAACAGAGTAAACATTTGAGATTTGGCCTGGTGGAGAAATGCTACTAAGGAACTGTGTCTTACTGGGCCAGAATGACAAAATCGCAAATTTTACGAGCCTCAAAACACATGGCCTATTTCTTGAACAAGATATTTGTAAGAAATAAAGGCAATGTGAGGCTAAAAATCTAAGCCAACAAATTGAAATACAGAGACATCAAAGAGTAAAGTTAAGAACCTGATAGAAAGAAGGGCCCTCAAAAACATCAGGCTCATAATTGATATCCCCAGAATACTACACTTAAGAAAATAAAACAACCAAGAGGTAAATTAAGTAATAGCAACATGTAACTAGCACAGTTCATAATTGGATTAAGGTGATTTTATCTCACCTATATCTGCCTTGCAGAAGAAAGTATGAAACCTCCCTAGTAGAAAAATAACATCATTTAAAATCTTTACAATGTTTTATACACAGTATCTGGTATGCTATTAAAAATTATGGAGCATGCCAAAAACAGAATGCATGATCAAAATCAAGAGGAAAAAAAACATAAAATAACATACTAATGGGTGATCCAGATATTAGAGATCGTATACAAAAATTTTTTTAAAACTATGATTAGGCCAGGTGCAGTGGATCATGCCTATAATCCCAGCACTTTAGGAAGGCAAGGCAGGCAGATCACCTACGGTCAGGAATTCACGACCAGCCTGACCAACATGGAGAAACCCCATCTCTACTAAAAATACAAAATTAATTGGGCATGGTGGCACATGCCTGTAATCCCAGCTACTCAGGAGGCTGAGGCAGGAGAATCGCTTGAACCTGGGAGGCGGAAGTTATGGTGGGCCGAGATAGTGTCACTGCACTCGAGCCTGGGCAACAAAAGCAAAACTCCATCTCAATAAAATAAAATAAAATAAAACTATGATTAATGTGTTCAATAAATAGAAAAGAAATAGTTGAAATCATAAAGAATTTGTCCTGAGAAATAAATTCTTTAAGAAAGAATTAAACAGGCATTCTAGAACTAAAAAATACAATATCTAAAATTAAGAAGTCAATACATTGATTTAATGGTAGTTGAAATAACAGTAGTGAATTAAATTAAAACTCAGTAGAAAATATTTAAACTGTAGCATGAAAACAAAAATGTTATAATATAGAACTCTAAGAGTGTTTGAGGCATGGTGAACAGTTCTAACATACACATTTATTAGAGTCTCAGAAAGAACAGCAAGAAATGATATGACAAAATACATAGAGGGGAGGATCCAAGATAGGCGTTTAGGAACAGCTCAAGATTGCAGCTCCCAGTGAAAGCTCAGAGGGTGAGTGGACGCCGCATTTTTATTGCCCACAGACTAGGAAATTCCCAGGCAGAGAAGCTCCACAGGTCACCAGCGC